TATATATATATATATATATATATATTTTATATTAGATGGCGACTCGAAATTTAAAACATCATCTTCTCTTTACCTTCTGTTTTGTTTTTATTTCAAGACCCCAAAAACATTTTCTTTGCAAACACCTTTTTTACTATTTAATTGTCTTAGAGAGTGCATGCAACTATGTATTTAATCTGCTACCTTTTCATTTGCGACTTGTCATTCCCATAATATATCAACAGGAATCCAAATTTACCAGTACTTGTAGACCCTATTAATCTGGTGATAAAACTGGAAGATTCGAAGAAGGATTGTAGGTCGAAAAATTAATCTGGTATGTGAAAGTGAAAGTTGATAGTGGGTGTGGGTCGCAACCCCATCAGAATTCAGACAATCAATATGAATTACCGACAAGGCTATAACAATTGAGGCAAACGTGTCCATTTCCTAGTTATGAGTATATTGTTCATGTATTTGCACCTTTTATTCATCATTAGCGATTTCTAGGTCTTGCCGACATTCATGTTCTCCGTCTAACTAGTTTCCCTTTTTTTTTTAAAAAGAAAATTGATTTCTCAAAATAGTAGATAATAACTTTATATAAATTAAGATAGTAATACTTTCTTTCACGTATGAATTTGATATAATTATATTTGTATATTTCACACCCTAATTTGAACCTAAATATCTATGATCACCTCCACCCTCACCATCTATTTGTAGACGAATTAAGTTCGACTGACACCCAAGTCTAGCTCGGAATGGTTATAAACACACTCTTTAAGGATAATAGATTTATGTATAACAATTATTAATCTGGAAAAAGAATTGTTGAATCACCTTGATCATTTGCTTCCTTAAGACATAAGTATAATGACCAATAGCAGTGCGCTAAATGTCCTCGTGCGCACTCCTTATCTAATCAAACTTCGTTTTTAACCTTCCTTTTTCTTCTATTCTTCATCTTATAATTAGATAGCAGCAATAAGGATAAAGAGTATGGAGTGTGGAATACATGCCAGTTCTCTTCATTTTTACTGTTGGGTGTTCATAGCGATAAGTATCTAGCTTCTTGACAATTTGTTGAAGAGCTCGTGCGCGAATTTGTTGAAATATTGAAGCTCGACCCTTCTTGACAATTTCGCCTCCGTGTCCTCTGCAATATATTTAACTTTACACTACCAACAATATATGACATGTTTGAAACAAAATAATAATAATTATACTTTTACAAAATAAAAAGCTAGTATAAGACATGATTCATCTGTCCAACTTTTTGGGCTGGATAGGCGTAATTGGATGATGTAGCAAATAAATCTCAAAGCAAAGTAGCAATATCATGTTCAAACGATATAGACAGAAAGAACATAGTTCACTTTAGAGAAGGTTCGAAATTATGTCGTCTTTTCTGATCTTAGGTTACTTTCTGTCTGCCAATTTAGTTACCAAGTCAACTAAGGAATTTAGAACCACCTTTCCCTGTTCAAAAATGGCCATCAAACGTCACAAAATTTATAACAGTAGTTGCACGTCTACGTTCTAAGAATAGGAATTCATCATTTAATTGAATTATAGCTCTAAAGATTATCCAGTTCTTTACACAAATTAAGATCACGATTGAGCATAGTGGAATCAGGAACGGTTGAAACTATTCTACTTTTAATCGCATAATCGAATCTGATTCTTTGTATAAAGAATATTTTGATGAATAATCTGTTTGGCCAAGCTTCTAAAATAAGCTTATTTTGAAAAATATTTTTCAAAAAAGTAATTTTGGTGAAAAGTAGTTTGTGTTTGGCTAATCAATATGAAAAACACTTTTGAGTAGCAATTAGTATTTGACCAAACTTTTAGAAATCGCTTAAATGTATTTTTCTTAAAAGCGCTTTTCAAAAAAGTGTTTTTGGTAATAAGTTATTTTTTTCTGCTTTTCAAAAACTACTTCTACTTCTAGTAAAAAATATTTTTTTTCTTTCTAGAAGCTTGGCCAAATATAATATTTTTTTAAAAAACGAATTTTAAAAAAATAATATTTTTGGGCTTGAAAAAACTTGATCAAACAGGCTATAAGTGCACTTTACTTTCTTAATAGACCTATTTTGATACGAATATAAATGATATATCTGAACAGTAAATTTTGAATACCATATAATTTGAAAAGAGCTCGAAAGTTTCAAATAACTGTCAAAATCTCGAATTCAGATTCATCAACAATTATGCCTCCTAGAACCATGACCCTACATAACAACCATTCTTTATTTGAAAGTTAGGGAAAACATAATTGTCAAGAATTGCCAAGATGTAGACTACTTGCAACTCATGGTGCCTACAGTTACATTTATGGGAAAGAATCCAAGTTAGTGGCTGTAACATTCACCTTTTTTTTTTTCCTAATTAAAAGTTTTACTACACGACGGAAGTTCATCAATCATGCTTGTCTAATCTTTTTTTCTGTTTTTTATCCCTTCAACTTTGTATCTTTTGGGGGTTTGATTGCCAAAGAACAGAAATTAACCACGTGGAATGTAAACAGTCCCTCCAATTATCTCATTATCCTGACCTCTATTAATGATTTCCCCCCTAACTTCTCATAATTCGCTACTAATCTGATTAGGTTTTGAAGAATTATAATAGGTGCAGCATGGTAATTTATTGAGTGAATTTTTCTCTTGTTTACTAGTGTGTTTTTAGACGAAACAATAATCCTCTGTCTTATATCTGAGAAAATAATGAACAAAATTTTAATCCAATAATAAAATGTATTGCAGATTGATAAATTTTGATTAATAGACAGATATATATGGATCTATTATCCATTTTCATTTAAACTAAATCTTTAGTCAACTTTTAGTTTTTTTAATCCTATGTTGCTTCTTCCAATTATCGGAATAAATTTTAAGTGTTCATTCATTAATTTGTTGCCATAGCTTTTAAGAATTACAATTTATGCTGTTAGATAGAACGTCATGAGAAGCTATATGTCTCCAGCCTAAACAAATGAAATTAAATAACCTCCAGCATTCCTCATGCTATGTCTCCTCGCAACCATAAAATCTATTGTTTCACTTTTACTAGTACACATATATGCTTCCATATAAATCATGGGAAAGCCATCTAACTATGATTTTACATGATAGTTGCATTCTTCTTTTGAGTAGTTAAGCTGGCGTTGATATACAATTTTTCTTGTTTGTGTTTGTGTAAATATATTCTTTTGAAAGATTACTCTTCGAAAACAATTAAAAGAAAAGATTAATTTGGGAAAGTTTTAAAGCTAACATAATTTTATAACCAGAGTTACTTACTAACCTAATCATGACCAATATATGATATATATCGAACATAAAGTTGTGGGTGTGTCACTGACTTTAGTAGGATCACATCTTAATATATACTTCTGGCATAACACGTGGCATTAATGTAGTTTTTACCAAATTATAGTACGATGGACTAGTCCCGCGTTTTACACTATTCGAGCATGCATTGAAGATAATGAAGAAAAAAAAAAGCATGCACTGAAGATATGTTTCCTCATATTAAGAAACTCTTCCTCACCAATACTACGTCCACAACATCCATTTAGGATCATGGGCGGATTTAAGGAGCCCGTAAGCCGAAAAATTATATTGTATATGTAAAATAAAATTTGGTTTGTATCTCTATATATTATATTTTGAATTCTCGTAATATAATCTAAAAGTATAACTTATTCAAAACCTTTATTATGTTGCCGATTCAATTCTTATAGTCCACAGTTCCTTTTTTTTTTTTTTTTGAATTCAAATTCACCCACTTTACTATGGTTACCATCAGATCAGACTTGTCACACTCATTCTATTCAACATCGGAATCCAAATCCCACTAAGAAACATCATAATTACTCCAGCCATGATCAAATTAAATCAAAGATTGAAAGCGAGGACGTAGAAAGTATTGTTTTTTTCTGTAAACCAGTGTTGATGGTATTGGCAGAGGCGGATGTAATATGATTTTTCTTGGTTTGGTTGAACCATTAATATTTCTAATATAGAGCTATCTGAAAAATTACTATTTAAATTTTAAACTCAGAATTATAAATATATAATGAGTTATATAGTGATAGCATAAAATTGTACCATAAAACTCATAAATTTCAAATTGGCGCACTCGGATAGTCGGTCACAAACCCATCACCGAATTTAGTAAGAAGTACCTGTAACAACAGAGGCTAACGTGTCCTGTCTTTGTAATATTGAATAGTGAATACCCACCATATATTTGGGACCTTTTGAATCATCAGCAGCAACTTCTGGGTTTTGCGCCAGCATTTATGTTTTCTATCAACTACAGTTTCTCACTTTTGTCTCCCACTATAGTCCATCCTCATCCACTACTTTTTATTTCCCTCTTTCTCCTTCACGTAACTCTTGATAAATAGCCTTGGTACTTTCATCTTTGTTTGTCTATCTTCTAGTTCAATTCCATGGCTAACTTCAGCTTCATCCTAGGCATAATTGGTAAGTTTCATTATTAAATCTTTAAAAGTACCGAAGGTGGAACTTTAACAATTAATGAAATTTTTAGTTTATTAATTAATATGAAAAAAGAAATCATTATTTTTGTCAAATAAATATACTGGTAATGATTTTTAATTTACACCCATGTTTCTGCAGGGAATGTCATCTCCATACTTATGTTTGCTGCCCCAATGTAAGTCTTGAATTTTCCTCGTAGTACTAATTTCGTTGGTTACACTGATCATTACATAAAATAAAATTACATTATCTGTTGTATATAATAATCCTACGTTTACGTAGTACGGAGTAGTAGTTTGTTTTTTGCTTCCTACTATTGGAATAAAGTAATATGGTACCCAGTAATATTATTTTTTAAGAATTCTCAAAACAAAGATTTGCACAGCCAACTTATAATCAACGCATGATAAAGTTGAAACTTGTGACGATTATAATTAAAAGGCATTTGGTTAATGTATTTTTCATTGTTTGATCACAATGATCATTAAGTTTGAATTATTAATATTTCAGAAAAACGTTCAAAAGGATAATCAAGAAGAAATCAACAGAGGATTTTAAAGGGATACCATATATTACAACACTATTGAGCACAAGTTTGTGGACATTTTATGGGTTGCTAAAGCCTGGAGGTTTGCTTGTGGTCACAGTCAATGGCACTGGTGCCATCTTACATATCGTATATGTCACTCTCTTTCTTATCTATGCCCCCAAAACTCTCAAGGTAATTAATACTATTAAATTTTCAATGTTAAAACTCTGGTCTTTATCACCTTTTAACGTCAAAAGCTAGTTGATTTTTATTTTGAAGGAACTAAAAAGTTGATTTATTTGATGTCTTTCTTTTTTGCAGATTCAATCCATTAAGCTGGTGGCAATAATAGATATAGCTTTCCTTGGGGCTGTAATAGCAATCACTTTACTAGCTGTGCATGGAAATACTCAGCTCACATTGGTCGGACTTTTAGCTGCTGGTTTGAACATAGTCATGTATGCATCTCCTTTATCAGCTACGGTAATTTCTTATCCCTTTTTCCTATTTTTTTGTTCTTTCTTTCGTTGCATTTAACTTATTATCAATACAAGGAATTTTATGTGCTATTAATGTATTTTAACATGTCTCTTCATTTCTTTCTTTCTTATTTTATTTTCCGGGTTTCAAGCAATTTAAAATTGCAGTTTTTGTTTATTCAACTGTATTGCTTGGCGTACAGAGAACTGTGATAAAAATGAAGAGAGTGGAGTACATGCCATTTTTCCTTTCCTTCTTCCAGTTCCTTAATGGAGGGGTATGGGCAGCTTATGCAGTCTTTGTCAAAGATTATTATATTGGAGTAAGTTCTCTTCTTCTTCTTTTCTTTTTGATTTTCCTTTCTTTGAATTTTCACTTGTATTGATGTAGGTCTGGAAAATATTTGGTGTGTCATGAGCTATACTAGATGTGAATGAATAAATTTCAATAATATACGCCAAAAATTATATAAGTTTTATATACTTTTTCGGCAAAAAAAACCCTTCTTTTTTGGGTAGAATTTGAACCAATCCACTCATTGATGTAAATCGAAGTAATAGAAAATACACCAAAAAAGTTACTAGTATATTATTGCTTTTGATATGTCTAATTGTTGGTACATATAATTATTTGTTACCTTATGATTAGGGGTCTTCATGGTTCGATTTGGGTTGATTTTCCTCTTTAAAAAAATCAAACTAATTAAGTTAGTTTTTCAAATATTAAAACCAAATCAAGTAACTCGGTTTTTTACAGGTTCGATTTATGTCGATTTTTTTGTTATTTCCATTTTTGTCAGTTTTTTTCTCTCTAAAATATGAGACAATTCCCACCGACTATATTATGATACAATGCTATCAAACCAATTATTCTTTAAGAAAATTTATCATTTACCAATATATATTAATAATATATAATTGAATTAATTAGTAATTTAAAGACTCAATTAAAAATAAATTATATTTTTAACATGAAATAGATTCTTGGATTTAGTAACTTCCATCAAACTAGAATGTATAGGCAAAAACCTTGATTATTATAATGATAAAGAACTAGACTACCGACTAAGAGTGCAAAAGATTAAATATCTACCATAAATTAAAAAGTTTATTATTATTTGCTTAAAACCAAATCTAAATCAAATTTGATCGGTTTTTAAAATTCAAAACCAAAATCAAATCAAACCAAAATATTATCAGTTTTTTGATCCAGTTTTTGGTTTGGTTAGAATTTTCAGTTTTTTGTGAACACCCCTGCCAATGATGTTGGGAGGTGAAAGATACTAATGCATTTTTTAAGGGTGCGGAAATTGACTTGAACATCACCGATTTAAAAGAAAGCAGAAAACGCAAATATAAAGAGAAAGATTGGAAAGTTGAACCCCATTTGGAATTAGGACAAATATTTAATGCTCCTCTTTTGCACATATCAATTTGACATCGCCTCCTTCTAAGCCACAAACTATTTGGTCCATTATTATTATCAATGTAGTATTTATTGAAATATTATCAAACATTTGTGTTTTATATTGATTATCATTAAAATTCTATTGTTTTCTTAAATCATCGATTTTAGGTGCCTAATGGGATAGGCTTCTTATTGGGCTCAGCCCAACTGATCCTGTACTTCATTTACTACAAGTCAACCCCAACAAAATCTACAGATCAAAAGGAAGAAAAAGAAGGCTCGGCCCATTTAGTGAGAAGAGGAATCCAACTGAATGATCTTGATGGAGCCCATGAGAATGATAAAAATAATCGAAATCTTCACAAAGGGAAAAGCCTTCCAAAGCCATCTTTAGCTCGTCAGTATAGCGAGAAACTAGTGAAGACTCTCTCGATTAGCCCATCTTCTTTGGGCTCATACAATGAAGATGATATTGAGAAAGGCCTAAAAGATGCCCACTAAATTTCAGAATTTTAGAATATAGGCCCAAACTTCATTTTTGTATTCTTGGGTCTTACGTATAAGAAAGCGTTATAATTCCGAAATTTTACCTCTTATATCAAAGGTTGATACCTTATTTATTATAAATAAATACCCTTTTAAAAAATTATCTCCTATAGCTACCTTTTAATTTTTATAGCAAAATATCTATTTATGGTCACTTCCTATCTTTAAGGCATTAAATACACTATGTATTATTTTTCCCTCTTCCTCTCTCTTCCTTCTCTCCTCCTTTCTCTTTCCTCTTTCTTCTCTTTTTCCCCCGGTTTTTTCCTCCCATGCTTTTAGAAACCCTAGCAGGGGTTGTGTTCCGCTAACGATAGATCCAGCCAGCGACCACTTCCCCCCTTCCTTGTAGTGTCACCCCTAACCCCCTCCGGCCGGCGATTTCTTTCACACAATTGTGTTACACATTCTAAATTTTTCTTAGATTTTGAATTGATTGTTCATGTTTGCCTTGTGAGATCTGAAGAAGTTCTGTCTCTAGTTTTCGTTTGATCCTTTAAATTGGTGCTTGTGAGATCTGAAGAAGTTCTGTCTCTAGTTTTCGTTTGATCCTTTAAATTGGTGCTTGTGAGATCTGAAGAAGTTCTGTCTCTAGTTTTCGTTTGATCCTTTAAATTGGTGCTTCTTCAACAATTGTCTTCATTTAACCGGCGGCGACACCCCACATGGTGGCGGCCTGGATATCGGTGGTTTGGGGATAGAGTTTGGGACTGGGGAACTTGAAGAGTCTGTTACCTTTTATTTCATTGTATTTCAATGTATCTCGATGTATTTTATTGTATTCATTGTCTTTTTTTCATTGTATTTCAATGAATCTCGTTGTATTGCATGTATTTCATTGTATTCACTGTCTCGCTGTATTCCATGAATGTATTCATATATTTTTTTTAATTAATATAAATTATGTATTCATATGTATATATGTATTCAAATGTATCTGCAGTATGTATTCATATGTTTTTGCACTATAGATGACCTGCTATACTTCATGTATTCAATATATTTTTATGTATTTAACTGTATTCAATGTAATTATATAATTTCAATATATAAATCTATTTGTAAACATACCACTAAAAAGTATTTTAGTAAAGATACCACTAAAAAAAGAAAGGATGGATTGAATTTCTCAAGATTGCTCTGTTTTTGGGGTGTTTTCGGTTGATGAGAATCTTTTCTATAACTGAAAATACAAATTTTGTATGTTATAATTGAGTTTGTTGAGTTATATTAGGAGTCTATGGCGTTAATTGATTCACTTACCGTTTTTAAACTACTGAAGACCTTTTTTTTCTCAAATTCTGTTACTGTATTCACAAATACAGCTCGCGAATACAGTCGAATACATTCTCTGCTTAGCTGGACTCTCCTGTTTTCCGTCGAGTTTTGCTACTATATTCATGAATACAATAGCAAAAGTACATCGAATACAGTCTATAACAACTGAAAACATAATTATAAGAAGTAATTTAGTAAATGATAGCTATAGCAAGCTAATAATCATTAAAACATAGTGGTTTATGAAAATTTCTCTTATAATTATATTAGTTGAAACTCTAAATCTAAGCTTCCCTTTTTTGTTTTTGTTTTTCCTTGGTAGTTGGTGTCTTCAAAGAAGATTATACACAATAAAGATTGATGTCTAGTCGTCTAATGAAAATTTTCTATGGAGGATAAAATAGTGTATTTTCATAGTGTATACTTAGAATATTTTCTGACAAATTTTATTTTTCAAGAACAAGTAGCAAAGACTACCCATAATATTTTGTCACTTATTTTGTACTGCGAATGTATGTGTACGGTCAAAACCGATTAAGTCAGTCGTACGGACTGGTCGAGATGATAATATTTCGATCAAAGGGTATCCGCGTGACGACATGTCAAGGTCCGAAGTAAGGGCGTCAAGCTTCGAGCTCTAAGATCGATCAATGACAAGCTCGGTATCATTACCGAGCTCATATCCAAATCAAACTACGAGACAAAGCGAAGATTATCGGAAATGCATAGACCAACCAACACTCACCCCGAATATCGAGACTCTAAGTCAGAATCGAGCTCGAACAGCAGATTGAGTCGATGAGAGAGTTCTCATTATTTGGTGAAAGCTGGAACGCTTTGATAATGCTGGCTCCGATATGCTTTTGCTTTTCGATTCTTTTGTGCTATGCACTGCGATGCTACATTCCTCGCCTGCCTTAACTGAGTGAATATCTACACTATAATCAACCATTTCTACTGAGCTCACTGGTGAAGGTTTGTTCTTATAGATAATGTAGATGATGAGCTGTGTTGACCCTGAGGCTAGTCCAATCACATTTGGCACCTGATTTTGTGAAACAAGACACGTTAATTAGTCTGATATAAGTTTAAGTTATTATATGTACTCTATTTAATAAGCATTGATGGTGACCATTTAATATAATGGTAAATTGGTAATAATCTGTTATAACAAGTTATATTACTTACAAAAAATAATTTACACAATCGGGTGTCTTATAAGGTAGTACACTAATTACAAATAAAATTCTATAATAAGCATTAATTATTTTTATAGTGACAATATATATAACTGGAATCTTATATAACTAATGTGAGGTTTGTTATAAGCTGAATATTGGTGAGAAAGTACTTACAATGAGATAAGGATCTTGGAGGAACATAGCAAATGCAAACCAAGCCCCAGCATTCAGTAGCAGGAAAAATGAGAGGAGAAATGGCATATATTCCACACTCTTCGTCCTTATTACTGTTATCTGATAAATTGTAGAATATACAAGGTAAAGGGAAGAATAACGGTGAAATTGAATTAGACGAAGATGGTCATTATTTATGACTTGCAGGAGCAAATAACTCAGAAATACTTTTATGATTAATAAACATTATAGAAATATCAACTTCTTAATTTTACCATGACAGAAAGAGGGGAATGCATACATGCCGATAGTAGCAACTGCACATAAAACTCCAATGAAAGTATTCCTGGCATTTCCATGGAACACATTACAACCAGCAACAAGGCTCAAAGCCATTGCTCCTCCTGGGAAAACGATGTTCATTATGCTCACCAATATGAATGCCTTCACCTGAAATTAATCATCATCACTAATAATTTATGTCATGCATTATTAGTAATGAATGAATAAAATATAGAAAAATATTAAACTTCTTTGACATGTATATATGTATGAATGTATCACAAATTAAATAAACGAAAGAAACTATTAGCATTAAGTAAATGAGTTAATATAACAATCGATTAAACATATTTAAAATAGAATAATATTGGTTTACCAATTCATCAATTGATCAAGTTTTCGTATGTAGTAATGTATGTGATTGATCATCAATTACAATATAATATGTGTGTGTGTATGAAATGACTCATATACTTAATTATAACTTAGAAAATTAACGTAGATTGATGAATACAACGTCTCGACCGAAATTTATTAATCTATGTGATTTGTAATTAGTTATAAAACGAATGAATATAAGACGAAATGTGGAATTCGAATAAAATAAACGTCTCATAAATATACCTTTATTTTTTTTTATTATGAGTGATTAATTATATATATGTCTAAATAAAATATATGCTTATAATTTATTAAAAGTAATTAGTTAATATAATAATTATTTATAAAGGTTATGCTTATAGTTTATAATTATTTATTAGTATGTGTGTGTGTGAGAATAAAATATATACTTATAGTTTATAATTTTTTAAAAGGTTTATAATATTTTAAGAAATAATAACACAAAATAACTAATTTAGTTTTTTTTAAATTACCGACCGAAGTCGGTCAGTTAACTGTGGTCAAACACAGTCAAGGGTCACTTAATTATACCGACTAACTTTACCGACCGAAGTCGGTCAGTATATTTTAATTTCTGATCTAAAATTACGAGTTTCCCCCTCATTTCTCTTCTTCTCCGCTACAATTTTTCTAACACTCACTCTCTTCTTCCTCACACCCACAACCCACTTCCCCCACTCCTTCTTTTTTCCCTCACACACATCTCATTTTCCACTCCTCCATGCCACCAGTGTTTTAAAAGGCGTGGGCGTAAGGTGAGGCGTTTTACATATTCCGAGGCACGGGGCGTAAGCCTCATAGGTATTCACTTTTTAATATTTTATAAAATAATATAATGACAGTAAATATTTATAAACATGTAAAATTGCATAAAAATCGAAAATAATATATGTGTGTGTGTGTGCGCGCGCGCTCTCCATCCCCACAAAAAACTAATCAAAACAATCTATTATACGCTACTTACAAGCACAAGTAATTTGAATCTAAAAGAATAAAGTTTTCTATATGGGGGAACAAAAAGAATGATTAACCTCAAATTTGAACTTTAAATTTGCACGCGCGCTCCATCCTCACAAAAAACTAATCAAAACAATCTATTATACGCTACTTACAAGCACAAGTAATTTGAATCTAAAAGAATAAAGTTTTCTATATGGGGGGACAAAAAGAATGATTAACCTCCAATTTGAACTTTGAATTTCCTGCTATGAAGGAGAATGTAGTTCTCTTTGTATTTGTAAAAAAAATTAAATATTCGTTGCTTTTGGGAGATACTAGCAGACTAGCGGACAAGATTAAAAAAATTAGGAAAGACCATGAATTAGGGCTTAAATCAATAAAAAGGTCTTGACTTTTAAATTTAATACTTTTAAGTTCCTTTTTAAACCTTTTGAGTAATTACCAAACTGACTTTTGAGAATTTGGGTATTATAAGAAGGATTTATTCAACAAATTTTATTTTAATTTAAAAAAGTCTATGGAGCTTACTCCTCACTAAAAAAAACGCGCCTCGAACGCCCGGGCATACGCCCCGAACACGCGGGCGTACGTCCCAAACGTCCGGGCATACGCCTCTTGAGACTTTCGCCCCACACCATCACCCCGGGGTATTTTTGGTATGCCTCGCCCCGGGGCTGGCTCGAAAATGCCTTTATAACAGTGCGTGCCATACCAAGTCGTCATTGGACCCTCCGCTGGTACTACTACTGCGTCGCCACTGCCGCCCCTCCCCCCCACCTTCTAAAAATTCTAGGTTTGAATTAGAACTTACATCTTTTTTGTATAAATTTAATATTTTGTTAATTCGTTATGAATTAGTTCATTAGTGTTTAAACTGATTGTTTAAATTTGCATTTTATTGAAATCTAGGGTTTAGGTCTTGTTTTAATTGAATTGAATTGAATTGAATTGATTGCATATGGTGTTAATTGAATGTTTAAGTTTGTATTGACTTGAATAGTTTAGTTAGGAATTGAATGTTTAACTTTGAATTGAATTGAGTTTTTAGGATTTGTTCTTGTGAATTGAACTTTTAGGGTATGAATTGAATTTTTAGAGGTAAGTGTTGAACGTTTTGGATAGAGCTTATGTTTTGTTTGTTTAGGGTATTAATTGGATTGTTTAGGGTATGGGTTCAACTTTTAGGATATGAATTGAACTTATAGTTTATGTTTAAATTTAATGAATTATAATTAATTATATTTACTATAATTTAATTTTGGTGCAATTAGTAAAAATTAATTATCTTAATTAACTAAAAATAATTTAATTAATTTATAATTGTAGAATAGATTAAGTAGTTCTAATACTTATGGAAATATCTCAATTTATTTTTGTTTTATTTGTATATATGGAACATCGTACTTGGATGTACAATAGGAATTATCCTAATCGGTGGGGATTGAGGGAGAATTTTGTAAAAGGGGTTGATGAATTTGTTTAGACATGCAATGTCACTTTCATCATACCAAATTGAAGTAGTAATTATGTGCCCTTGTGTCAAGTGCGATTGTGTGAAGTTTAAAAAACTGGAGGAAGTTAAGCTTTATCTCTATAGGATGGAGTTTATAGAGAATTGCTTTGTGTGGACTAATCATGGAGAGATTGATGGTAGCCGTAAAATATTTCATAACATGGTTGTTGGTGAAAGTAGTAGGTCGGTGGAGAAAAGAAATCAAGATTCTAGAATTCATGATATGGTTGCGGATGCTTTTGGGATGCACTCCGGGGGTGAGCCCAATGAAAATATTGAACAAACTCCTAATGATGATGCAAAACGTTTTTATGAACAGTTAGATGAAGCTAGTCGTCCACTACGTGAAGGAAGTGTGCACTCTGAGCTGTCTGTTGCGATTAGATTACTAAGTATCAAATCTTATTGGAATATTTCTCAAGCGGCCATGGACTCTTTCATTGACCTTATGAGTGAACTAGTTGACCCAAATATCAACTTATATGGTGATTTCTATAAGGCAAAGAGATTGGTTTCTAAGTTAGGACTTTAGTCGATGAGAATTGATTGTTGTAAAAATGGTTGCATGTTATATTATAAAGATGATACAAATTTAGAAAGTTGTAATTTTTGTGAAAAAACTAGTTTCAAGAGGCTTTCCAGTCGCAATATGGTTGATATGAAAGCAATGCATTATTTTCCTCGTATACCTAGGTTAAAGAGGTTATATGCGTCGATGAGTTATGTTCCTCATATAAAATAAAATACCACCTGGTATTACGTGTCATCCTTCAGATGGAGAAGCTTGGAAGCACTTTGATAGGACACATCCAAATTATGTTAGTGAACCAAGGAACATTCGGTTAAGTTTGTGTGCGGATGGCTTCACGCCTTTTTCTATATCTACGACACCATATTCTTGTTAGCCTATCTTTCTTACACTTTATAATCTGCCACCTGAGTTGTGTATGACTAGTCCATCTATATTTTTAAATTGTATTATCCCCGGTCCACGTAATCTGAAAAGTTTGATTAATGTATATTTGAAACCTTTGATTGATGAGCTAAAACAGTTGTAGTATGATGGTGTTGAAACATATGACATATCAACCAAGCAAAATTTCAACTTGCGTGCTAATTTAATATGAACTATTAACGATTTTTCTGTGTATGGAATGTTGTCTGGGTGGATGACTGTTGGGAAGCTAGCTTGTCCTTACTGCATAGAAAATGGTAAAGCATTCACTTTCAAAAATGGTCGAAAGTAATCATGGTTTGATTGTCACAGTCAATTCTTGCCTGATGATCATGAGTTTAGAAGGATGAAAAATACATTCAAAAAGAATAAAGTGAAATATGATTCGCCACCTCCTATACTTTCAGGTGAGGAAATTTGAGAGAGGGTCCAGAACTTCACTAAAGTTACTGAGGCTCCACCTTCTAGATTCCCCGATATGGTGTTATTCATAATTGGACGAAACAGAGTATATTTTGGGAGTTGTCTTATTGGAAGGATAATCTTCTTCGACACAACCTTGATGTCATGCATATTCAGAAGAATTATTTTGATAATTTGTTCAACACGGTAATGGATGTTAAAGGTAAGACAAAAGATAACCCGAAGGCTAGAATGGACTTACAAGAATATTGCAGGCGGCCTGAATTATATTTGCAGACAGCGAACAATGGTAAGGTGTTCAATCCCAAAGCAAGTTATACATTCACTTTGGAGAAAGACGACAAATTTGTAATTGGGCTACGAAGTTGAAGATGCTTGAGGGTTATGCGTCGAATCTGGGGGGAAAAGTAACTATGGAGGTAGGGAAGTTGAGCCATTTGAAAAGTCATGACTGTCATATTTTCATGGAGACCTTAGTGCCTATTGCATTTTGCGGTTTGCCTGAAAGAATCTGGAAACACATCACAGAGATTAGTTTATTTTTCAAAGACTTGTGTTCTATCACCTTAAGGGAAGAGATTGGCGGATTATTTCTCGGATGGTAGAAAGAAGAACAAGAGGCCTGACTAGTGTCTGCAGTATTTACGGGATGATTTGTTAAGGCAATGACAGACCGAGCAATTCTTACAGAAGAGCCTAGGGAAGAAAGCTCGCTCATCCGAGAAGAGAGGCTCCTTGCACACTGGGGGTGCTATCAGCATCGGGACAATAAAAAGAATATTAATAATTGCTTAAATTATTACGTCTTTACTTTTCTAAGTATATCAATTCTATTTATTAACCAAAATAATTTATTTTCAG